AGAGAGAGAGAGAGAGAGAGAGAACCAGGTAGCCGGCATTTAGAAAGCAGCTTTGGAAGGAAAACCCTATTATACACAGGGCGTCACAAAGGTATCAGGCACGGGAAGTTTCGGTGACAGCTAAATTCACTTTCAGAGCACCAGGCATAACATTTCTCTTTAAATCAACATTGCCTCATTTGAATCTTAGCTCTAAGAGGTGGGATGCTGACAATAACCCACCTTGTTAAGAAAGCTGTATGTGTGGCGTGCTTTCCGGTCTTTAAAGCTCCTGACAGAGAGGCAGGGCTGCATGGCCTTAAACTTGTGCTTGGAGGGCTGGGGCATGCAGCCGAGCAAACACTAGGCTCCCGGTTTGGTTCCCAGCACTGCATCCAACTGCACATGCCTGTAATCTTAGCGATTGGGAGGCCAAAGCAGGAGCATCAGATGTTCAAGGTCATCCTTGGCTGCACAGTAAGCTCATGGCTATCCTAAGCTACATGAGACCCTGTTTGAAAATATCAACAACAAAAACAAAAAGAAATAAAATATGTACATACAGGCCAGGTGTGGTGGTGTGATTAGGAGAAAAGTGGGGGATTTCAAGTTGAAGGCCCAACTGAGATTCTATCTCAAAAAAAAAAAAAAAAAAAAAGTGTGGCCAAGTGGTGGTAGCACATGCCTTTAATCCCAGCAGAGGCAGGTGGATCTCTGTGAGTTCAAGGCAAGGGCTACAGAGTGAGTTCCAGGAAAGGCACAAAGCTACACAGAGAAACCCTACACAGAAAAAAAAAAGTGTGTGTGCGCGCACGCGCGCGTACATATATGTAAAAGGGAGGGGCTGGCAGAGCTCAAGCTAGGGAGGCTCAAGAGAGGGCCTAAGTTAGACACTCCCCAAAATACATATATACACATAGCTATATATGTATATACACACACTCAAATGTAGAATACTAGAACTCATGATTTCTAAGTGGAAGTAGTTTGTTTTTAAAGCCTCCCTGTGTGCATGTGTGTGCTGTTAGGGAACTAAATCCAGGGCCTTACACATGATAGGGGAAGAGAGAGGGGAGAGGGGAGGGGAGGGGAAGAAAGGAGAGGGGAGGGGAGGGAGAAAACATGAGGTGGATGGCTCTTGGCCTTTAGCTAGAGAGCACTGGCTAGCTTGTGTCTGCTCTGAGGAAGCCATGGAGGCTCCAAGCAAGACTTGCAGGGCACCCACAGAAATGCCCCCAAATTCTCAGCAACCTTCCTGCATGTTTCTGCAGGGGAATCAGGAAATATACCTACGCAGGCAGCTAGCTTGCTTTGGGGACACCAAGACTGAGGTTCAACCCACACAACAAGGATGCCTCATACCTGCATCGGCACCTGTGATATGGCGCCTGTGTGGCTACCAGCCCTTACCTCATGGGTCACAAAACAGTCACCCTAGCAGTGACAAAGGCCACTCCATTTTCTCTCGCCCCATCTTATAGATGAGGGCTGAAAGAGACTCTGGGGCTTGCTCAGAGTCTCCAGTGGAGTCAGAATTCACAACCAGGCCCCTGGCTTGAGAGACAGACAGACAGACAGAGAGTTCTCTGTGCTCTGGGGGAATCTCACTCAGATGAATGTGCTGCTGATATGAAAAGGCTACATCTACCCAGGTGGACCGCTGCTATGACTGTATTATTTTCTTGTGAATTTGGAGATGCTTTCACGTTGATACGTTTGGAGCCTTCTGTGAAAAGTAAGACTGACAGGGACTGTGGATGAGACTGTATTTGTGAAGGGAACATGTGGCTTAGCCCACTGTGAGGAGTCCACAGGGAAGAGGCCCCAGGCAGACTGGGTGTGACTGTCCTGAAGTGAGCTGTCAACCCTCTCAGAGCCTCAGTTTCCTCTCGTACAGGTAGAGGAAGTAACCCCTCCAGTTTCGAGAAGTCCTGAAGGCTGAGTGGATGCCGTAGGGAGGGGGTCAAATCCCAGTGAGAGGAGGCACTGGGGAGGAGCTGGGAGTCTCCCTGGGCTTGCGTCACTAACCAGAGGAGGCCAACGGAGGCCTGGCACAAGGAGGCTCCACTCCTTCTGTGAGATAAGTTTTGATTAGGTGTCCTTCACAAGGTACCCACGACTCTTCTCTGTCCCTCCCTGGCTCCACACAGCAGACATCCTCTTGGCCCTGGCCCTCTCTGGGATGATTTCTCAAGAGCCGGATCACAGAACTGCCCGGGGTGTTCCTATTCAAAACTCAGCTTACCCACCCATGTCTAAACCCTACCCATGTAGAGGGCTTGGCCAGTAAAGTCTGCCCGGGGCAGAGCAGAGGAGAAAGCCCGGGCGAGAGCCCTCCTGCAAGGTACTGTCAAATCAGATGTAAGTCTGTGAAATTCCCACAGGGGCAGACCCTAGAAGGAAGGAACCAGGCTTCCGGAGAAGGCTGGCAAAGGGCAGGGGTGGGGGTGGGGGACAGGCCATTCCTTCTCCCAGTTAATACAGGTAGTCAGAGAGGAGGGAGAGGAATAAAGAGGTAATGCTTTCAGGGAGGCCAGACCGCCATGAAGAAGCTGAGATAGCTTTAGACTCTCCGTGCTGGGTGCTGGGTCCGTGTAACTCCTCCGGGCAAATTCCCTCCCCCCCCCCCCAGCTGTTCCGTGGAAAGTTCAGGGCAGGAGAGTGCTTCTGCATCTGAGTTGTGGGCTGGAGGATCTTAGGAAGGATGGAACTATGTAGATGGGATGGAAGCCAGCCTCAGAGTGTGCTTCTCGGCCCAGAGCTGCTGGGTGTACGACCCACCTCCTTCCCCTCCGGGCTAAGTGGGGGCGGGGCACCGCTGAGCTAGCCAAGGTCAGAGTTCCTACCTGCAAGCCATTGGGGTACACGTCGCCCTCGGAGAGTGAGTCCACCAGGTCCTCTTCGTCCAGCGTGGCCCGCTTGTAGGATGACATCTGCAATGCCAAGTGCAGTACAGACTCCCTCAGCGTCTCCATAGCCAAATGGGGAAGCGGGCCCCGGCGCCCCGCCCCAGCCACCCGAGATCAGCCCACGGATAGATGACCCTCCCCGCGCGCCACACCCGCCTCACCCCCAGAGCGGACAGCGCGGCGGCCAGTGGTGGCCACACGCTCCGCATGCTGTGCCCCACGATGCCCAGTCCCGGTCGGATCCCCTGGAGTCTCCACACGCTGGCTGCCGGGGGCGGGGCCCTCTGGAAGGTGGGCGTGGCCTGTTGGGCACATGTCCCTCCCTGGCCTTCGGCGAGAATTGGGCTGGGGACCTCTTTCTTCCCATGCCCAGCCCCAGACCCTAGCTGGCAGGACAGGGCCTCATGAAGACTTCATTCATAATGGGGTCCCCAATGGCAGAGACCAAGAGGCAAGGTCAGCAAAGCCTAACTGGGTCAAGTCAGATTCCTTCGCCATCAGCCCTTAGGTGAGACAACCAGTCTTCTGCCTAACTAGAAAGGCTTGTGGGATGGGGTGGTGGGGTGGAGGTGGAGTCAGGAATCCCCCCTCCACGTCTCAGTTCCTTTCTCCTCTAATTGGGAGTTTTAAAGCCAGAGTTCTGAACGAAGTTCACACAATTCTAAGAAAGTCCCCTGACACTATGAAAACTGCTGAGTGAATTTGGAGGTTTCAGCTTTCCAAAGTGCCTTTTCTTTTTCTTTCTTTCTTTCTTTCTTTCTTTCTTTCTTTCTTTCTTTCTTTCTTTCTTTCTTTCTTTCTTTCTTTCTTTCTTTCTTTCTTTCCTCCCTCC